TGCTGCAGGAAAAAGTGGTAGCCATCTTGGCAATCATTTTAGCAGCATCTCTTGCTTCTTTTCTTCTTACTTCTAGTCCAACAAAGAAAAATCAGTATCTCCACTTAAGATACACATCCCAGTTTTGGAGGGCTGATTCTAGGCAGAGGAAGGTGCACGTGGTAGGCAAGTAAATATGGTATTAACAGACAGACTACAGGACAATATCAGTTAAAAAAAAAGGCACAATCCAGGTTGGCAGACCCCAAACAGGACCCTTCATAAAAGATGGAAGTAAGGGAATACAGCAGCATACAGGAACAGATCTAGTGCTAGGTGCTCAAAGACAAAAGGCAGAAGGCAGTATATGCTTCACTTTGCAAATCTGAATTTGGATTTCTACTAGGGCCAGGCCCATCCCTGTATTAAATTACTAATTGATAGCAACCTCCCTAAGGCTGTCAGGGGGCTTGGTGGCAGTCCCAAAGGCTTTGCAGTATTTGGGTCTAGACTTTTACACCTGCTATTACAACACTATTACTACTGCACTTCTGTTACACACTTAGGACACAGCACACCTGCTCTGATGTGGGCTAATTAGCAAACTTAATTAATCTAATTAGCATGCTCCAGCAGCCTCCACATCACATGTACTTACTGTCCCTGTGCTTTGAAATGGCAGCAGAGGTGCTTTAAACCTCATTGAATAAGCTTCAGTTAAAGCACCCCTGCTGCCATTTTGAAGTGTGGGACACTGAGTACATATGACGCTGCAGGCACTTTAATCAGAGCAGTTCTCGGAGCCGCTCTAATTAAAGTGCTCCCACACCGCATCCCAGAACACGTGTAAAGATGCTCTTGGCATAGGGGACACATCTCCTTTGCCAGGGAAATTTTCACCTTAGTACATGTTCATCAGTGGCAATTAAAGAAAATCAAGCAGCCTGTTCTGGAGTCAGATTCAGTACCCAAAAGATTCAAGGCCAAATTTAGAAACCCCGCCTCATACTAAATGAAGTCAATGGGACTTCTTGTGGAGCAAGATACTATTTAACACAAATAAGGGGACCAGAAATGGATTTATCACTGTTCAAGGTATTCTAACCCAGTAGAGACCAACTTTTTTAGCAGGCTTGCTGCATATTAGCCCCACACCCTTCACAAATGCCATCCTAATTCCCTGCCCCTTACCAATCTGCCATTCTGCTTTCTGTTCCCTACCCAATCTGCTGCTCTGCTTTCTGCCTCCAGCCCTACCTACTGCTGTGCTACCTGTCCCCTCCCTGACCTGCCACGTGCTACACATAGAGGTTGTCCATGTTATTTGTGCCACAGGTTGGCTACCTCTGCCCTAACCTAGGAAGGGAAGTGGGAAAATGAAAAAAAATAAAGGATAAGGCAATACAATAGATCTGACAATCTCCAGCACAGATTGGCCAAGTTACCACAGAAACTGCTTTTCATGTCCACAAAATCTCATTTTGACAGTGGAGTCAAGGTGTCTTTTTAGACAGGCCAGGGGAGATGAGGAAGAAACTCATCTTTTAATCTGTGAGCTTTTAACAGTTACCTTCCTACAAAAAAAGAATTGCTTTTATCGCAGTAAATAATATGGCAATAAGCCTTATCAATGCCATCAGGTTCTTATCAGCTGAGAAATTTCAGAGGAAAAGGTAAACACATCATCCCTATCATACGAGTAGCATGGAGGTGAAAGAATAAACCACATACTTGCACAATTGGCCTCCTCCCAAGTTTTGTTAAAGAATTCTGAAAGCACCACGATTATCTGTAACCTATCAGACATCAAGAGGCTTTTCGCGCAGTTGTAGCTCTTGGAAGAATTCTGGAACAACAACAAAAAGAAAAGTATTATGAATTCATAGGGAAGCAACTTTGAAACTCTGGACTTACGTGTTACATAAACTTGCCAATAATAGTTTTGTCTGTTTTAGACGACTTATAACAACTCAGCAAATAGACTACAGCAAAATCTGTCTTACCAAAGAACAGAAGAAGAGAAAACATTAAATAACGTGAACTGTACAACTGTATTTCTTTCATGTTCAGTAGGCAAATTCTTAGAAGGTTTAAAAGGAGGACCACACAGGAATGTCAGTCACAAATATGCTGAACATAAATGAAGCATCTTCTAATACTTACTAGGTGTGATAAGCTCTTTACAAATTACATTTGGCACGTGTGCATTAACAGCAATATATGGTAAGTTTCCTGGAAAACTTGATTCTGCTCATACTCAGTGACTACCAAAACAGGGCCCTGAACTGAAATCCCACAGGTTCAACCATACTAAATGATTAAATTAGCACAATTGGTATGTCCATTATTCACATACAACAAAAACACCTAAACCACGGTAACTTAATCCAGTCTAGTAGAAAGTTACCTCTGAAAGATTTGGGGCAGAAAGCTACCACTGTAAGCTACACCAATTTATGCTTCATCTGTCTGTACACATTTCAGTGTAGCTGTTTGCTAAAGTCAAACAGGCTATATATAACCTGACACTTACCAGCAAGACAAAAATCATACTCTAAGTGCTTAGCTGGTCATATGGAGCTAAGAGGCAGATCTGTTGCTGCTGGAAAAATCAGCATGGGCTGCCTTTCTGAATAGCTGCATCTTTGTCCATCCCTGATCCTGGCACAATTTACACCAATATGTAAATGCAATGTAGGCTACACAGGAGCACGTGTTATTCTGCCCCTGTCCAAAGAGAAAGCTAGACTCCATCCTGGGTTATGCCAGTAGAAATCAAAACCCAGCACTCAATTATTTAACTCCATCTGATAAGAAATACCACATCTCCCATGGGCGACTGATGCCGATCTCGCTACCCCGGGGGCGGGGGGGGGGCAGGGTCCCGTCCCCCATGGCCAACCTCACTCACTGCAGCCAATCGCTGCAGCCACTTCCAGGAGTGGCTGTGGCCACTTTTGGGAGCGGCTGCAGCCATTGGCTGGCACTTGCAGGGGGGTCACTAGCGCTCCTGCCTGCTCCCCCCTCCCCCTCATTACCTAAGTGGCGAGCATGGCCAATCATGGGGTGCACATGCACCCCCGTGCACCCACTACATGTCGCCACCGACTTCTCCTTAGTTTACTGGCAAAAAGAGCTCCAGCAGAACCTCACAACTGAAAGCTGCTCTCCTTCAGCCATGTGCCACCACAAATCAGCCAGTCTTCAAGTCAATCCCTCCTAGCATGCAGCTAAGCCTTCTGGCACACAGACTGCAGACTGGAAATACAGAGGATTATCAGGCCTTAAAAGAATATTTTGAAGTGTATGTGCACGTTTCCATTCTGTCTGAGAAGAGATTCAAAGCAGTGACTGCGAACATGCACTTCTTGCCTTTCCTCCTCTAACCACAGATTGACAGAATCAGCCAGTCAAGCCCATGCTGATTTTCCAGCAGCAACAGATCTAGCCCTTAGTTCCATATGACCAGAACCATATTTAGCACAAAAACTACTCAGCCCTCTTTGGAACAAGCACTGGTTAGCATTAACAGGGCTACCAATAATTTTTGCATAGAAGAACAGAGCAATGCAAGACAGATTTGTAATCCGTGCAATATAGGAAGGTTTGCTGTTGTTGAGATCCATTACAGGTTTCCCTCACTTTATGCACGTTCTGTAGGTGCGAATTCGCTCTTATGTGATGATCCTTTTTATACCAATTCATTATATGCAAGGTAAATTCACTCTTATGCCATTGGTGTGGTGGAAGCCCAGTCAGTCGCTTTGTGTGGTACATCAAAATACAGTCTCCTATGCGGCTCTGTGCTCCTCTCTTATCTGCAACACGTTTCTGTAGTTGCCATCCCCATTATGATAGTGTCCTGTGCTTGTGTATACTGTCTGCTGTCGGTGAGTACCAAAATTGGCTTGTAAAAGTGGTAGAAATGGGTCTGGGGATCAGTGCAGTCAAGATCTTGGAACATATCCCTATTTGTCACATTGCAAAGTGGATTCCCTTTATGGGAATTTGAGTTATGTGCCACTTTCCAAGAACGCATATACAGGCATACCACGGAGATATTGCGGGTTCGGTTCCAGACCACCACAATAAAGCGAATATCGCAATAAAGCGAGTCACAGGAATTTTTTGGTTTCCCAGTGCATATAAAAGTTATGTTTACACTATACTGTAGTCTAGTAAGCGTGCAATAGCATTATGTCTAAAAAAACAATGTACACACCTTAATTAAAAAATACTTTATTGCTAAAAAATGCTAACCATCATCTGAGCCTTCAGCGAGTCGTAATCTTTTTGCTGGTGGAGGGTCTTGCCTCGATGTTGATGGCTGCTGACTGATCAGGGTGGTGGTTGCTGAAGGTTGGGGTGGCTGTGGCAATTTCTTAAAATAAGACAACAATGAAGTCTGCCGCATCGATTGACTCTTCCTTTCACAAAAGATTTCTCTGTAGCATGCGATGCTGTTTGATAGCATTTTACCCACAGAACTTCTTTCAAAACTGAAGTCAATCCTCTCAAACCCTGCCGCTGCTTCATCAACTAAGTTTATGTAATATTCTAAATCCTTTGTTGTCATTTCAACAATGTTTACAGCACCTTCAATTTGTAAGAAACGCAATATCTGCAAAGCGCAATAAAACGAGGTATGCCTGTATTGCATAAAGCGAGGGAAACCTGTATTAAGTACTCTTCCAGCACCATGGACTGTACATAAATAAGGATCAGAAGGGCCTTGTTTGGCCATCAGGTTCAGTCCCCTGCATTCTAAGGCCCCCATTTACTTATTGAACCCCCAAAAAACTACTTCAAAATGCAACTAAAGGCACAATACCCAAAACACTGGCAGCATTCTAACACGCCATAGATAAATGCAGAGGAAGCAAAGGCACTGCCTATGTCCTGCAGTGACAGGCACAGGCAGCAGAAGGCCAGGGTTAATGGGGCTTAGCAATGGCCCTATGAAGGGGAGGGGCAGGGGTCAGGCAGAGCTCAGCCCCCCCGATAGTATTTTCACCCACCGCTTATGGTGACAAGGAAGTAGCTGGTTAATACATGCTCAAAAGACCCAAGGACAGCAATTCTCAACCACAGAAACCTGAGATTCTTTCAAGGGTGCTATGGAGTGCTACATGATGTTAGCACTGTTAGGTGTGCAAACATGATTTGCAAGATAAGCCCTGATGTTTCAAATAGAAATCTATACCATTGGAAAAATATTCCAACTTGTGGTCTTTCCGAGTTCTTTGCAACAGAAGAGTTATTCCATTATTTTTCCATAGTCAAAAAATAAGTAAAAGCTAAGAGTCGGCATCTTCCAAGGGATGGCTTGAGTTTAATGAGGGGTGCCTTAACTTTAAAAAAGGTTGAGAACTACTGTCTTAGAAAGAGCACCATGCCCCATGCTAATTCAGGGAAAAACTTCTACAGTCTACATCATTCTGATGAAAGAGAAGATTGTTAATAGTAAAAACAGAAGTTAACGTACACACACTTAACAGAACAGCTTGCTAAGTACAGAAGCCAATTAAAACAGACAATGATAGATCCAGATTTGGCAAGTGAAACACCCTCTTTCATTCTGGGCAACAGTTTCACTCCATCATCATCATCACCTGAATTATCATAAGTTCATGGATCAGTCCCCAGCAAACTACAGAATAAAAAAACCATCAACCTGCCCAAGGAATTTACATTAAGTTTAAAAAAATAAACAAAACCAACAGATGGAGACAGAGAAATAAGGTAGGAAGTAAAAAGGAACAATGAGACCACAGCAGGAAGCATGACTGGCACTGGCAGCAGCCTAACCACTGCTGAGTTTCACGTAAGCACCCCATAAAAAGGAATACATAAAGAGATTTGAAGGACAGCAATAAAGAAGTGGTTCTGCAGACATTCACCCAGAGCTCCTCACAAGAACAAGGATAGCATGGGGAAAAGAAAACACAGCACACGCTCTATCTATAAAAGGCCAATTACTCATCTCAACATGAGAAAATATTCTGAGCTGCCTTCCAACTCCAATTAAGATTTAAAGGACTTATTTCAACCCCAGTTTGATTCAGCTAGAAAGCAGAAGCAGCTCAGATAACACATCTGCTGCTCTGTTTTGGGGTAGAAAGCCTTTCAGAAAACAGAGGACTCGCATCCCCATCCCTACCAGGAGATGCCTAAGGAGAGACTTTGCAATCAATGTCTGGCCACAAAAGTTCTGAAATTTCAAACCAAGAGTATGATTTAGGGAGGTTTGAAGTTCAATGCAAATATTTATCTCAGCTCTAAAAGGTGCACCATAGGCTGCATGGCTGTCACAGCTAGTGCGTCTCAGTCCTGACCTGGATAAGCTAGCCGCTGGGCAGAGAGATTTCTTCCTTTGCGGTTAACGGGACATGGAACATCTCACACCAGCTACCTGCTTTTGGGCCAGAGACACATGGGACGGCAGCTGTTTTCAAATCCAGCAAATCCCAACTGGATAGGAGTCATGACTAAGAGTGTCTCCCATCAAATGTCTCCTCAACTCCCCACAAACACACATGAATTAGGCAAGTGAAGCAGGAAGGTAACAAGACAAGGTCTATCCCTCATCATCTCTGAAGCATACAAACCCTATTATTTAAGACCCATCATATGTTCAGATTCATAGATTCATGAAAGACGTGAATAAAGACCATGCCTACTGAAGAGCTTATATACATTTTTTCTAAGCAGCTGTACCAGGAGTCATTTCCAAACCGTAAAGATGCCCAATGTTCTCACTGGGTGGAAAGAGCACTGGGTCTCATGCACCCCTGAGCCCTAGGGATTGCAGCAGCAGTTGGTCCCCAGGGCCCAGAGGTTTTACACTGGGCTGGGTACATCCCTGCCAGCCCTATCAGCTGAAGTGTTACCCGCTGCAGGGGAGACCCTTCTACACCTACAAATTAAAGCTCAATAGAAACCAGCTATGAAGTTAGCACACATTTTTATGCCTAACTTTAAAGCTGGTTGGAGCTTTTTTCATAGATTCACAGATGTAGGGTCAGAAGGTGCCTTGTAGATCTTCTAGTCCAACCCCCTGCCCTGGGCAGGAGAGAAAACTGGGCTCAAATGACCCCAGCCAGGTAAACGTTGAGCCTCCTCTTAAAGACCCCCAAGGTAGGAGCTAACACTTCCCTTGGAAGTTGGTTCCAGATCCTAGCTGCCCTGACAGTGAAGGCAAGTACTTTACACATGTGGCTGGTCTTAGAGTAACTGCACAACTAACCACTTAATTGCAGAATACCTGTAACATGTAGAGGGGAGTCTCAGAAGTGCTTTGCCTATATGCTATGCCAGCAGAGCACTTAGCGTGGGAACAATCCCCTTCATCCCCAGCAAAACAAAGCACTATTTTGCTGGTCTATCTCCATCTACACTAGGGGTTGCTTCTAGCATCACTATGTCAGTCAGGGATCACTGTAGCTATGCAGGCAAAAAAAAAAAAAAAATACATGGACACGGCCCTGCGAGCACTACTGGAGAGAAGGAAAAGAAAAGAGCAGTATAGGGGGAAGCGTCCATTGGATAATCCCATGGGACTGGACATACTACCAGTCACTGGGCAATATTTCATGAGCATGAGCTTAGCCAAGGACTAATGAGCAATTTTGTTTCATAGTTTCATAGATTTAGGGTCGGAAGGGACCTAGTAGATCTTCTAGCCCGACCCCCCACCAGGGTGGGAGAACAACAAAACCCCAAAACAAAAACGGGACTCAAATGAGTCCAGCCAGGTAGGCATCCAGCCTCTTCTTAAAGACCCCCAGGGTAGGGGCCAGCACCACTTCCCTTGGAAGTTGGTTCCAGCTCCTAGCCGCCCTAACTGTGAAGTAGTTTTTGCGGATGTCCAATCTATACCTCCTCTCCATCAACTTGTGCCCATTACTCCTTGTTATGCCAGCGGGCGCTAGGGGAAACAGCGTCTCCCCCAAACCCTTCTGGTCCCCCCTAGTGAGTTTATAGACGGTCACCAGGTCCCCCCTCAGCCTTCTCTTGTGGAGGCTGAATAGGTTCAGGTCCCGCAGTCTCTCACTGTAGGGTCTGCCCTGTTGTCCCCGGATCATGCGGGTGGCCCTCCTCTGGACCCTCTCCATGTTGTCCACATCCCTCTTGAAATGGGGCGCACAGAACTGGACACAATACTCCAGCTGTGGCCTGACCAGCGTCGCGTAGAGGGGGAGGATCACCTCCTTGGCTCTACTCGAGATGCACCTGTGGATGCACGACAAGGTCCGGTTAGCCCTGCCAACCATGACCTCGCATTGTCGGCCCATGTTCATCTTGGAGTCAATAATGACTCCAAGATCTCTTTCTGCCTCCGTGCTCTCGAGTAGGGAGTTCCCCATTGTGTAAGTGTGCTGCTGGTTCCTACTGCCCAAGTGCAGCACCCTGCACTTGTCCATATTGAAACGCATCCTGTTCCTGTTAGCCCACCCCTGTAACCTATCCAGATCCTTCTGCAATCTCTCTCTCCCTGCCAGCGTGCTCACCTCCCCCCAAATTTTGGTGTCATCGTTTAATGAGTAATTCTGATTTTTCCCTTTGGCAGAGGGAATTTTTCTTCTGAAAACCACACACTATATAGTTCCTCTTTTTGCTTCCCTCCTTTTAGTTCTAACATATGAATTGTTGGCCCTGAAAAGGTACAAACAAAACATTTAAAGCAATAATGGACCCATATACCTCCAAGGCTTATATCAAGATCAGATATTTCTATGACCATAAAAAAACAAATATTTTAAATTGCATTTATAGCACACTTATGTTATTTCTCTACCAGGGCATCAAATGGAAGCTAAGCATCCAATGCATTCAGTGGTTTAAGCAGAAAGAGGCAGTGGTCAAGCTTCTCTGAACTTGCAGATTGGGTCTGAGCCAAAAAAGTGGAAAAGGAGGAAGCATAGGAATAAACCTAGAGTCTCCATGACTAATCAGACCCAAGTGTGTTTTTCTTTCAAAACTTCTCCTTCAACCACTTGCTCCAGAACTGTGATCTTACATAAACTCGCTGGACACATAGCTCCGATACCTAGTTTCCAGCTGATAAACCAATTGAAACTCTCATAGTTCCCAGAGCCTTCTTATATGTGAACAAGATGGGAAGTCCAATCAAGTCACACTGCATTAAAAGAGGTGCTCCCTAGAAGGCTCTACTCTAGAAGAAACCAATTTCCACTTTTTCTTGTTAAAATGCAACTATTTTTATTCTGTCAGGTTTTGTTTTACTTCCTAAGGCCTTCGAGAATTTCCATTTTATACCCCTAACTACAAGATTTCATATTATTGCCACTTCCAGCAACTTTCATTCAAAGAGTACATACATTTACTTTCACTTTGAGTAAGTTTCATGCATGCATGCACAGATGAAAGACAGACTTAGGAAATATAGAAGATGTTCACACAGCAGTGGTCTGCTGGCTTCCTGAAACTTCCTCACCAGCCTCTGAAGCCGGACAGAAAACGTTCAAATAATACAGGCTAATAAAAATTAGTTATCCAAGAGTCACAATATTAAACCAGGCTGCCTTTTATCCCCAATTCTCATAGCCTGCTTACAGTGTACTATTGGAGGAATGACTTAAATGTCTAGTCAGCCAGTTTAAAATATTCAGATTCCATGCAAGTTTGGTTTACCTCACAGCAGGGTCTCCTCACTCCCTTTTTTCCCCTTCTTCCAAAGATGCACCAAGTTCCCTACATTCATTACATGTGTAACTATCTTGTCTGAAAGATCCACATGTACCAAAAAACATGATTCTAGTTGCTCTCCAGCCAGGTAAAGATTTGGGCCTTAACCCGACCTTCCACCCTTCACCAAAATTAGTGTGTACTCATTGACTGCTCCCTACTCATTATAATTGTCAGGGAACTGTAAATCTTTTATTCGTAAAGCCTGTCAAGATGAGAGGTGCCACATAATGGCAGCATTATCTGCTGGGCTTCCCATTTCTACACTATGCTTTGTCATCAACTAACATCTTATAAAAATAAGCCATACTAGATAAGCCAAAAAACTCTCTGCAGGATGCAGGTGTTACCAACATCCTTTGGTTACAAATACCTGCCAGCGAATCTTAGTTCACTGGGAGAAGCAAATGGAAGAAATGACAAAGTATAGCAGCAATAGTAATCAGTAGGCTGCAGGCAGTATTTACAAGTCCAATTTGCAGATATGGGGCCTTGTTGGCCTCAAAGGTACTGCTGGATATTTTTCTACTAAAGTTGGTGAGACCTTTCGTTTCAGATGCAAACCATACTGTGCTTAAGCATGCCTTAATCACCTTGATAATCAGATTATTAGTGTTTACCTGAGTTATACCACAAGACTTAAAAGCTGAAGCTTGTCTACCACCCTGTGGCAACCTGCTTGCTACGGGTGATGTTGCAGTGTTCCACCAGCTGTGCTACTGCATACATGTTTTCAGGTAGAATCAAAACTCTTGGCATCTTCAGAACTAAAACAGCTCAAGTCCAGGTGACCTGAGACACCATGGCATTGCCAACTGTGCCAGGTGGACATGAGCATCATCTACTAAGCCCAGCTCCGCACAATGTCTGGAAGATTAATGCCATTCATCTTCCTCCTTGCTTTTTTTTTTTTTTTTGCCTCCAAGAAGGGACAGGAAGAGCATTCAGTGAAATTATTTACTGCCAAGGAGTTAAGTTCAGGGGCTGGATCTGATCATAAATCTGAAACATAAGGAGAGCACACACTTTTGAGATGGGTCCTTCTACTTGCTTGTATAAAAATGTAAGTAGATACAATAAAAGAGTTAAATAATGAGAAGAAAAAAAATCTCACTCCAAAGTCATTTTAGGACCAAACACAAGCACAATATAATGCACTGAAAAGAGAAAAACTCCTCCTTCCAGATGCAAGAACTGAGAGAATCGTGGGCATACCGGCTTAGGGGAACAAAGCACCAAGCAAAAACCTTTTAAGAAGTCAACAGGGTCCTAGTCCTTTGCCACTTATGAGTCTCTGAGCTCTAGAGTACCCTAATATTTCACAGGTTACAGAGAAGAGCTGTCCATCTTGCCAGTTTCTTGTGTGCACATGACACACAACTGGAAGAGAAATCCTAGGTTACAGAGGCGCCACCCAAACAGAGCATACCCTTATTGTTCCCATACAAAGCCAGATAGCACAATGCTGAGAAGTAGCGTGCTCCTCTGCACCCTCGCCTCCTGACCCCAAGGCAGCAGAGTGCCACTGATGCAGTGCTATCAGCACCCAAGTGACTGCCTCTCAGAGCAACCAATTCACCTGGGCACAGCGCAGGCAGGCAAGTGGCACAGACACAGCAGCACAGTCCAGCTACCCTCAGCCACTGCGCCAGGTACTCACAAAGCCCTCACCCTCTTGCACAGCTGAGCAGGTCATGCCCAGTAAGGGGTACCCAGGCAGTGCTGGCTCCCTGGGCAGGGCACTCGCCTGGAGCATGCTCTACTTGACAGCCACAGATCCCCTCCCCAGCCGCCCACAAAGCCAGGCAGAGGCCTGCCAGGAACAGGGAGGCTCCCTGAGATCATGGCAACACACACAGGGCGCCTGGCAGGGAGTGGCACCCCGGGGGCCCGTTCAGCCAGGGAGGACCAGGCGGCCCTCCCTGCCGCCCCTCGCCCGGCACGCACCCCCACGGCGCGGGTGATGTTGTCCAGCTGCTCCGTGACCGCGCGGAAGGGGTGGTAGCAGCTCTGGCAGAGCCGCACGGGCCGGGCGCTGCGCACCAGACAGCCGCTCAGCACCGCGCAGCTGCTGGCGAAGCCCGCCAAGAGCTCCCGGCACTCGGGCTCCAGGTCCCCGGGCAGCGCCGCGCCCAGCAGCGCCACCGACGCGTCCTCCAGCAGCGCCCAGCTCCCCGCGCCGGGCTGCGGGCCCCCGCCGGCGGCCAGGCCCAGCAGCACGCACAGCAGGGCGCCGAGCGGGCCCATAGCGGCGGCAGGCAGGGAGCGAAACGGCTTCTTCCTGCCGCCGGAGCGAAAGGGCATCACGTGGAACGCCGGGACATGTCAACGTTCGGAGCCGGGCCCAGCGCGGCGCCTCATTGGCCGCCGAGGGTTAGTCTCGGAATGCGGGGGCGGGGCCGCGGGAAGGGGCGGGGAGCCGGCTGTACGGTAATTACCGTATTTGCACGATCATTTCACCCCTTGTACGATGTACGATCAATAATAGTAAAAAAAAGGCTCAAATTGTAGGGTCATTTTTGAGGCAGTTCATTGATGCAGCATATGCAAAAGCAAGTCATTCTCCGATGTATTTGGTAGCCGTGTTGGTCCGAGACAAAAAGAAAAGCAAAATTCTAGAACTCTCGTTCAGAGATAATGCCTTTTATTAGATCAGCGGTTCCCAACCCGGGGTCGCAACCCAAATGAGGGTCGTGGGGGGCAATGCCAGTGGCACCGCACAGAAAAGATGAGCTGCATCGCGCTCCCCTACCCCTTCCACCGCACTCCACTCCCAGCAGTGAGGCTGGGGGAAAAAGGTTGGGAACCACTGTATTAGATCAACTAAGAAACTGGGAAAAAATTAAAAGTTTTTTTTGCAGGAAAAGATTTTTTTTGTGTGATTTCTTAGTTGATTTAATAAAGTTATCATGTCATTCTCGGGGAGTTTTAACTGGGACTATAGGACTGGCCTGAGCAGAGGAGAAACACAGTCTCCATTCTGCCACTATTCCTAGCACTACTGCAGAATTCATTGTTTCCACGTAGCTTTCCACCCATACGCGTGTCACATATGTAAGCACAATCTATAAACCAGGGTGGGAAGGAACTTGCTGTTGTTTCTCTTTTAATTAACAAATACTTGGGAGGCATAAGCAATGCTACTAGGTCTCAGATAACTATTGAGGCCTTGCCTAGCATAGGAACTTAACTCCAGTTCCAGCAATCAGCAGTTTTATCAACTAAGCCCTATCCCTACAAGCCAGAGTAAACTCCACCAATGTAAACTGGAGTTTTCCTTGCCTATACTTCAGGTTTGCTGCACCAATGGTTGGCCATCAGTTGCTGGGTGCAAGGTCAATTCTTCCATCTAAATAAAGTCTTCGCTCCTTGACATGATTGCCTTCTTTGCTTGCTGAAGGCAGGGCAGATTTGTACCTTATAAACTAAATTAGAGAGAGAGAGAGCGAACACAAGCTTTGTGAGCTGCAGCTGACTTCACCAGATGCTGTGAAAGAACAGGCACAGACCAGTGTATAAAATAGAGAAAGTGATTTAGTTCATGGCACAAACATGTGTTCCATACTTAGAATCA